TACACCTGTTTGTTCTCTTGGTTATAAATCGTGTTCAGTGATTTTCCTCAACATATGATCATTTTAATCCTCTGGTATCTGGTGATATTTAACATTTACCATTAAGCAGTGAGCCGAGCTGCTCCGCTGCACATGTAAATCCTTCATGAACGTCGTCTTATTTTAAGTTTGTGCCTCAAAACCTGGAGGAAATGTTGGTGAGAGTTATATGAACATACACGTCGACTTAAATAGACATTTGTTGCAGATTTTTCTTATTAACTCTTAATATCTAATATATTTTGCTACCATTTATAGATCCCACGGATTCCATAGATGGTTTAAAACCCAAAGTCAAACCGCGAAATGAGAGGATTTAGGAGCCGGTCTGACTGAGATGAGGTGTGAAAGACTGAGACGTGTCTCAAGGTTGAACAGACGAGTTTCAATATGGAACTGGAAGCGATTATCTCTGGATTGTTCCATGTGGTGATGCAGGTGGCATCCAGTGGTTTGACATGTTATCTCTGTCTGCTGCAGCTAACAGCTAGTTAGCATAAAGTCCACCACAAGCTGAGAAAATCTACCTGCCACCACTTCTGCTTAAATCTCTTTTGATTAATCCAAACAAAAGCAGTCCGGCCAACAGCCAGTCCCAGATCGGCCCCTTTTATAATCTCCATGAGATTGGTATTGATCTTCTCGGGTTGAAACTTCAAAAGCACAAGAATGCAAGATCACAAGCACGAGTAAATCTATAAAACCCTCAACTGTACCGCTTTCTTTTTTTTTTTTCCAGAAGCAAGGATTTGTATTTGCATAGCCTCATTCTCCAAGTCACTGCAGATCTTCTGTGAAAATATTTCCCTCCCGGCGTAAAGAAAGAAACTTGCCAGCGGTCCAAGTGTGTGTTAATTATAAATGACTAAATGAATAGATGACTTCATTCTCTCACCTACTTAATGCAGCGCCGCACACCAGCACAAATGAACAGTCAAGCAGAGATTTAAAAAAATAAAAATGTGCTGCTGACTGTATCTGAAGCCTTTTCTTCTTTTTTTTATTTCATTCTCTGTTTCATGGATTCTTTTAAAGATCTGTACATACGGCATCATTAGCAGTTCATACAGATGGTCTTTTTTAAGTCAAAGCTCTAAAAAAGGAATATTTGTTGTTGGATATCCGCCTGTAACTCATCTTACACTGTAAAAAAAAAGAAATTCTGTTAAAAAAATAAATAAA